CTTGGAATTTTACAAAAGAAGAGGATATACATATGTATATAGGTGTATATATATATAATATTCTCTTAATTATATGTAATAATTTTATAGACACACATATATACATACACAGTATCCCCTTAATCAGTTTCAGGAAGTTCCTCAAAATTCCTAGTTCTCAAAAAACTTTTTTCTTTTTAAAGATTTTATTTATTTATTTGAGAGAGGGAGAGAGAGAATAGAGTGTGAGAGAGAGCTGGGGGGAGGGACAGAGGGAGAGGGAGAAGCAGAATCCCCGCTGAGCAGGAAGCCCCATGTGGGCTTGATCCCAGGGTCCCAGGATCATGACCTGAGCCAAAGGCAGCTGCTTAACTGACTAAGCCACCCAGGTGCCCCATCAAAAAACTTTTTTTTCATGCATGGGTACTGAATTTATGCGATGCTCTTACTGATCAGATGACTTTTTGACCTTTTAGTCTTTTACTGGGGGGGAGTTACATTTTGAATATTAAGACATGCTTGCAGGGCCCGTGGGTGGCTCAGTCCTTGTCTGCCTTTGGCTCAGGTCATGGTCCCAGGGTCCTGGGATCGAGTCCCTGCTCAGTGGGAAGCCTGCTTCTCCTTCTCCCTCTCCCACTCCCCCTGCTTGTGTTCCCTCTCTTGCTATATCTCTGTCAAATAAATCTTAAAAAAAAAAAAGACATGCTTGCATTCCTAGGATAAACTCAACTGAATCATTATGAATTTTATAAAATGAGAATAACAGTCCTTCTTTCCTCATAAGATACTGGGAGAATTACATGACTTAAAAGACCAGAAAATGGTACACAGGAAGTGCTCAGCAAATATGAACTATTATTTTCCTTAAGCATTGCTGGAGTCATTTTGATTCATGATTTGTGATTTGTGCATCTATGTTCATAATTAAAATGGGCCTGATTTTCCTTTCTTATGTTGTCCTGTTCTTGTTTCGATATCACATATATACTAGCCTCACAGAATTAGTTGGAGAATGTTTTTTAATTATCTGAAAAAACTATAGTCAAGCCTGTAATTATTACTTGCATATTTGTTCTAATTGGTCTATAAAACTAAATTGGACAATTTTTTTTTCTTTTGTGGGGGTGGGGGTGATTTAAAAATACTGATATAATTGTCTTATTTGTCATAGGTATATTCAGGTTTTCTAACCCCTTAGCTCTCAAGTATGCACCAATCTTTTCTCCAAATGGAAGGACTTTTCACAGTTTCCTTCTCACTGGAAGAATTTGGAGAATACAAAACAGACAAATGGAGCCTAAGCAATTTAAATAAAATCAATTTCTATTTGCATTTGATGTAAAAGTCACATTATTACTTATATATAATTATTAGTAATGAAAAGTAGTAAAAATTGGCTTGGAATTACTGAAATATTTGCCTTCAAGGATAGATACATAAGCTCATTTAACACTCATGACTGACTTACAAGCATAAAGGAGGCATTTCGTTTGGAATCAGGGACAGACATCTGAATAAAACAACTGAAAAATATAATCAGTGGAGTAATATCAATCAAGTATAAGGAACAGTCACCACTGGCACCACTTGCCCGGCCCCGTCTGATCTACCTTTTCATTAGTGTTTTAAAATGAAAGGAGAGTGGTTCTATTCATAAAATTTACAGATGCCAAGAACCTGGGAAGAACTGCAGATACACTGAGATGGAAGAATCATTATCCAATAAGGTCTTGTTATGCCAAAGCAATGGGCTGAATCTCTAAAAAAGAAAGTATAAAAGGATAAAAGTAAATACATAAAGCTGTTTGTTGGTACCCAGTATTCATTTTAGCCATTGCTGGCAATAGCCCTGGATTTGGTTGGGGGGGTGATCTGCACCCTATTCATGTGGTTCTACTGCAGTTGACCCCCATCTCCTGCTTTGACAGTGGTTCATTATCCAAGCCTGGTCAACTGAAATACTGTATTCCTTGACAACAATGATGGATTGGTTCAGAAATGGGCATGTGACCCATGTCAGGTCAAAGAGAGACAACGAGACTGAATATGTTTCTTTTGCTTAATTGGTATTCATGATCATGTGAGTTGGAAGCTGCAGAGGGCCATAACATGGAGCATGAAAATCCAATCCAAAGGAAGCAGAGCTGAGTAATGACTTTTGCGACTGCCATTGAGCCCTGAATCAAACTATATGGGAAGTCTGATATACTTATGCACTTAGTCCTGTGTTCTGATAAGAAGTTCTTCCTTCTTCCCCTCCTCTTTCTCCTCCTTTCCTCTTCCTCCTCCTCCCCTTTCCCCCCTCCTCTTTTTTCTTTTCTTCCTCATCTTCATTATCACCATCATTATCATCATCATCAAGTTGTTTTTACCTGGGTTTTCTATTACTTAAAATACTACTAATTGGTAACATGGGATAATAATAGGACTTTTGTTATGGAATTCTTGTGAGGATTAAATGATATAATCCTATAATCTGTATAAAGTGCTTAATACAGTATTTGACATAAAAAGAGCATGAAATAAATTTTAGCCATTGTAGTTATAATTGTTACTATAATCATTATTATTATCATTGAGAGGATGACCACTGGGTGGGGATTCAAGCATTGCCTGGATACTTGAGCTAAACCATGTTTAATGTCCCAACATAAGATTCTACAATTTTTTAATTCTAGTCTTGTAAAAAAATAAATCAAATCAAGAAACTGCAATACTTTAGCATTTTTTGTAGAAGTAGAAAAAATGGGAGAATGCAGATTAAGGTAATATAAGTCAAGGAGGAAGATCTAAAGGGGAGAAAGGTAATATAAGTCAAGGAGGAAGATCTAAAGGGGAGAAAACTATAGGTAAAGAAAAAAAGAAATCCTAATGATAGCTCCTGAAGCTGATTGCAGGGAATATATGACAAAGATTTGCAGAGCAGAAAACTTACTGAGAGACAGTAAGATCCCCTGTACTTTGCAGGTCTAAGTTTGATGGGCTCATGTGAACGGTTGTAGTTTTACAGACACATTAGTCTAAAACTAAGCCCTGAAATATGTAGTCCCAACTTCTTTTAGTCAAATTATCATTTTTATGGTAATTTTTAGAGTGCCAGATCAAATAAACCAAATCATTTGTTTATTTAAAATGTTTGCAGTGAATTCAGAAAGTGCATTTTGTGTTTCAAAAGATCTCTTTGTCATTGAAAGTGCATTTCAAAAAAAGAAAAAAAAAAACAAATACATGAGCTAAGTTCTTGGTAGCCGTAAAGAAACACTTCATTTTTGTGTTTTGTTTTTTTTTTTCAATATATCTGTTACTTGCAAGTCTAACTATCATGGTTTTAAAATGTGTGGTGTGTATACGGGTTTGTAATATCATATAGTATCTGTTCCAAGTATGTAGTCAAGGTGGTGAAAAAAGTGTAACTGCTTTTCTGGACTTTTAGAAAATTTAGTTTCATGATTAAAAGTTAAATTAGCAATTCAATCCTGTAGCCAAAGAAAATGAGAAATGAATGATACTGACTAGTAATATCGACAGATCTTTAGAGGGGAACACAGGTAGAGTGATGAAGTCCCACTGTCATGGCTGGGGTTCAGACATATCTGGGCATCTGGTAGACCACTGGGGTGGCTGGTCCGATGTTCTGGAGAGGGGAGTGCCAAGAACTCTTCTTGGGAATGTCTGGTACAATGAAAAAATCCTTAGTCCTTGGTGGGCCATAGTCATTTTGAGAACTGGATGACTGATTTCTTGCTAGCCTGACTCTTAGCTGGATAGGTGAGCCCAGGAAAGAGAGAGACCATTTTAGGACAGATGGATACATTTTACTGCAAACTTGGGAACAGGTTGGTATTGGGAGCTAAGCAACTCCGCTCTGGGGCCTCTCTACCAAAGTGTAACACCAAGGAGAAAGACAGATGTTTCTCCCCCCGCCCCATCCTGCCACAGGCTGCCACATGAAATTAATGTACCCCGACTGAAGCTTCGGGGGTAGCAGCACAAAGGAACAGAGGTTGCCATCCCTGGCAAGACAGTGTGCAGTGAAATCCATTCCTGGGCCCTCCAGGGTAGCAGCCACAGAGTTTGCTGGGCTTAGCGTGGTGGAAGTGGACACCACCACAGCATGCTGTGCCAGGAAGCATGGAGACAATAACAGCATGGGCTTATGGACTGGTGTGGATACCAAGAAAGAGAACATTTGTGGGGACCCTTGGGGACTCTAATAAATACTTGGTCTGGGAGGGTTGATGTTGAACTTGAGCACATGGGGTATGTGACAGTAAAATGTGGGCCAAGATACTCATGGACCTCATACATTTTTATTAATGAGAACTGGAAACATTGGGTGCATATCACATAATACATATACTGTTCTCTGATCCCAAATTAAAAAACAAAAATAAAATGGTTTCTGATAGATCTAAAGCCAAAGGAAAAAACATAAGACAAAGAGAATATTTTGATTGGACTAACCTGATCTCTCTCATGCAAACGTGAAACAATTAACAGAGATGTCCTAATTTGATTTTTTATGGTGGTATTTAACACAATTACAAATTAGTCCCAACATGTTAACATTTAAGAAGTCTTCATGTGTTCTCTGTCATGTTTTATCTAACATTCCTTGCTTTTGGAAACCAAAGGCAGAAAAGGTTTTCCCCCTGCCACTGAGAACAGTGGGATATGTTCCACTCAGTGCAGACAGATACGTTCTTCACAATTGGTAGCTGGACAAGGTAACCAGAAGCATGGAAAAGACCATTCTCCAAATTGAGAGACATATTTGAAGAGAGAGAGTTTACAACTCCCCTGTGAATCCAAATAATTCATCTGCCCAGTGAAGAGACATAGATTCAGCCTGCCCAAGAAACCTCACCTCTGTTCATCAGCCAACTAGTGGCAAAGCAGAGAATCTAACATACCTCTCAATACTCTAGGTCTCCCTTTCCACAAACCGTAAAAATGGTTCATGAAAATACTTTAAAACCACTCCTAAAAAAACATCCCCAAGCTCAGCCATTGCACCATACCTTGGAGTATGCTCTTTACTATAACGTCTGTGTGATCAGCCAGGAGATCTGCCTTGGTGATCGCAGCCAGGGACAGGTAGTTGGACATATTCCTGCACAGTTCCTTGTTGCTTCTGTGGAGGAATTTCACTGCTATGGGGATGGCTAATGCCATCACAGGGGGTCGGTTGTAATTCTGAGGGAACATAAGAAAGCAACAAATAATAAGTGGCTCATTATTCATTCACTTATTCATTCATCCAAAAAATATTTATTGAGCTAATCTCCAGAGTACAGCTGTGAAAACACAGGCCCCACCCTGTTTTCATTGTATTTGGGCCTCTGGGAATTATTGCCCTTGTTGGGGAGTCTTGGAGGCAAACAGGCAGAAAACAGCCTAGGCTGATGAGGGCACGGACAGGCAAAGTGCAGGATGCTGAGGGAACAAAGGAGGAACACCTAACCCAGTCTTGGAGGGTGTCAAGAAAAGACTTTCTGGAGGGAATGATGTCTTAGCTGGACCTGGTGAATGAACAGGAAATGGCTGCATGATGGCAAGGAAAGGGATGGACAGCAGGAAAAGCATGTGTGGAGGCACAGAGGTGATGATGAGCAGGCACCATTGGAACTGTGACTAGTTCAGCACAGTGGGAGTGTGGTACATGTGGGAACGTTAGGGTAGGGAGGTGAGCATAGGGACAGAAGTAAAAGAGGCGTGATTATGAAAGGTCTAGTATTCCATGCCAAGGAGTCTGGAATTGATCTTTAGGGTGATCAGGAGTCACTGATGACAAAAATAACTCATCAGATTTATACTTGAGTTAACAACCCAAGGAATGTTGAACAAGGTGCTTTTGACTATATCTTTATTTTATTTTATTATATTAATCACTATACATTACATCATTCGTTTTTGATGTAGTGTTCCATGATTCATTGTTTGCGTATAACACCCAGTGCTCCATTCAGTATGTGCCCTCTTTAATACCCATCACCAGGCTAACCCATCCCCCCAACCCCCTCCCCTCTAGAACCCTCAGTTTGTTTCTCAGAGTCCATAGTCTCTCATGGTTCGTCTCCCCCTCCAAATTCCCCCCCTTCATTTTTCCCTTCCTGCTATCTTTTTTTTTTTTTTTAACATATAATGTATTATTTGTTTCAGAGGTACAGGTCTGTGATTCATCAGTCTTACACAATTCACAGCGCTCACCATAGCACACACCCTCCCCAATGTCTATCACCCAGCCACCCCATGCCTCCCACCCCCCCACCACTCCAGCAACCCTCAGTTTGTTTCCTGAGATTAAAAATTCCTCATATCAGTGAGATCATATGATACATGTCTTTCTCTGATTGACTTATTTCATTTAGCATAATACCCTCCAGTTCCATCGACGTCATTGCAAATGGCAAGATTTCATTCCTTTTGATGGCTGAGTAATATTCCATTGTATATACATACCACATCTTCTTTATCCATTCATCTGTTGATGGACATCTTGGCTCTTTCCATAGTTTGGCTGTTGTGGACATTGCTGCTATAAACATAGGGGTGCACATACCCCTTCGGATCCCTACATTTGTATCTTTGGGGTAAATACCCAGGAGTGCAATTGCTGGGTCCTAGGGTAGCTCTATTTTCAACTTTTTGAGGAACCTCCATACTGTTTTCCAGAGAGGCTGCACCAGCTTGCATTCCCACTAACAGTGTAGGAGGCTTCCCCTTTCTCCTCATCCCTGCCAACATCTGTCATTTCCTGACTTGTTAATTTTAGCCATTCTGACTGGTGTGAGGTGGTATCTCATTGAGGTTTTGATTTGGATTTCCCTGATGCCGAGCGATGTTGAGCACTTTTTCATGTGTCTGTTGGCCATTTGGATGTCTTCTTTGGAAAAATGTCTGTTCATGTCTTCTGCCCATTTCTTGATTGGATCATTTGTTCTTTGGGTGTTGAGTTTGATAAGTTCTTTATAGATTTTGGATACTAGCCCTTTATCTGATATGTCATTTGCAAATATCTTCTCCCATTCTGTCGGTTGTCTTTTGGTTTTGTTGACTGTTGCTTTCTGACTATATCTTAAAAGCTAAAGTTTCAGCCAGTGAGATTCAGAAAAAAAAAAAAGTGAATGAACATAAGACTAAAAACTAAAGAAATTCTGGGTCGTAAAATAATTCTCTTTTTGATTTAGTTTGTGATTGGTCATCAATATCCTTATATATAAAATAGTGCCATCAACATTTAATTGACTAATTAGGGAATAGTTAAAAATACAAATTATTTTCTTAAAAACAAATGGTTTGAGATGCCTGGGTGGCTCAATGGGTTGAGTGTCTGCCTTTGACTCAGGTCATGATCTCAGGGTCCTGGGATCTAGACCCACGTCAGGCTCCTTGCTCAGCAGGGAGCCTGCTTCTCCCTCTGCTTGCTGCTCCCCCTGCTTGTGCTCTCTCTCTCTCTCTGACAATTAAATAAATAAAATCTTAAAAAAAAAAAAGAATGGTTTGTCTTCACTACCATCAACCATTCTGACCATCAACCCCATCCTTTAGCCTAATTATAAGGCAAAGTTGCACACTGCACACTATGTGTGACTTAATATTATTATATCAGAAATAAAAGGTAGTTGTTTTTCTGTAACCATTCATGTGAAAAGTGCTTATATCTTTCCACCTGTGGATTTTTCCCTCTAATACTTCCCACAATTCTGGGTTTGGGGTAGGTGTTCAATAAACATCTGAGAACTGAATAACTAATGAAGAAAATGTAAATCTATTGTGATAGTTGTCATCAGGAACATAATGTGATGGGAAGGGAGGCACGGAGGTGGGAGGCCCATTTGCTCTCATGTCTCTTGCTCATGTTACTGCTAGCAATGGCTGAGTATGGGTCTGAACCTCCAATGCCATCCATTTTCAGTCCTAGTTGATTGGGCAGGTGAGTTGTTACACACTCGTTAGCAGATTCCTACTTCTATGGCCAAGGTGCCATGATACTTCTTTCTAATGAGGGCATTTGCACCCTTGGCTTCAGGAGTCATCAAATAACTCAGACATTGACCAGTCAGAGAATCACATTTCTTTGGTCCAAATGATAGGTTCAAGAATGGGCAAGTTACCCATTTACAGTTAAGGAATCATTAAAAGGCTCTGTGAAAGAGATTCTCTCTTCTATTGAATCCAAGGTGGTGAGAATGGAAGACTAAGAGTAGCCGCTGCCAGGCTGTGTCCTCAGGAGAGAATCTGTATGGGAGTCAAGGCAACATGCATCTATTTGAGAGATAAGTTGAGAGAAAATAGGTCCTGGTGACATCATTTGTGCCCCATGCATTAGGCTGTGCCTGAGGCCAATATTAGCCTCCAACTTTTCCAAATGAGTCAATTAACTCTTTTGTGCTTAAGCTTTTTTCCCCTCTCAGTCCCTAGAAACAAAAATAGACCTATAAAGCCTTAATCCATTTCTGTAGTTCCACCCGTTTTCTAGATTCAAGGGTCAATCTGACTCCTGAGCAGAGAAAGTAAGTATTCAAAAACCTAACCTGATATCCCACATTTAAGTCAGCCATCTTGCAAGTTCTGAAACTATCCCTTTGTGACAAATCTGTGCTTCTATAGCAGTTCCACTCACTAGGTTTCTGTCCTATCCTTCTTAGAGTTCCTAACATGGTTCCTATTGGGACAATGGGCTAGCAGCCAGACTTCTCTGATACCAGGCTTTGACTTTATCTAGAGTATTTCCTCTCCTGGTGAATTTAATTAGGCCTGATTGGACTGGGCCATTACTGATGTGATGAGCTGTGAGGCCTCCCTGGGAGGCTGGCTGCTCCCTGCCTTTCAGCTTTAGAAGTCTGAGTGTGTGCTTAGTCAGGCCAGACAGAATTGTTTGGATCCACTGATGCTAACTCACACCAAGGGATTTCCAAAAGCTAGGTGCATAATCAGGCATGCCAGTTTACTCATCTACAGTGAGGGTCTTTCCTAGGTCAGACTCTTTCACATTATCAGGATATCAGGAACCAGATGACTAACCAGAATGTTCACTGATGGGCACAAAATCAGATAAGAGCAGAGAGAGATCCTGAGGGTTAAGTCATTCAGGCCATGGTGAAACCCAACTAAAATCACAATCCTACCCCATAATCAAATCCCCATCTCTAGTGACTGACTGGAACTTTCCTGTCCATCAGATTCAGTCTCTATCCATTATACCCTCACCCTACCAAAATTACCCACACACACAAAACAGTGCTGGGTAATTTTGCTAATTGTGCCATAATAATGACCCCCTACTGAGCAGCCTCCTTTTTGTTGACATATTCTTTAGAGTATGTTTAGGAAGTGGTGTTTACCAAGGCCAATTCATTTGTCCTTTTTCTCTATTATAATCTTATTCTACCCCTGCTCCCTTGAGGTAATAGTTATTACTTCAATTATAGCATTTGGGTATTTCCCAAAACCCTCAGTCTCACCTATACAATTTTTTAGGTTACCCCTACAGACAGCCAATCTTTCCATTATGTGTAGATTTTTGCTAGTTTAACTCTTAGATGACACATCTTTATCCCTGTCAGCGCTGATCAAAGCCCTAGTTTTGAGAGTGGAACACAATCACACAATTCTCAGAGTTTTCCAACGAAGAACTTTGTGCCCAGGTTTACTTTTTCTACTCTGAGTCTTTAGCCAAGAACAACTTGCAGCTAGAGAAGTAGGCATCTTCCATTATAGGACTACATCTCCAAGCACATTTACGTGTAATTTGCTTAGAAACCACAGATGGTAGCACTGGGAAGTACAACTCATGTTCCTACTAATTGTGAACACAGACAGTGAAAGATCAATGAAAATCAGTATTCCCAGCAACTGATATTTTTAAACCTTGGGCGTGAGCTAATGTTTGCCAACAACCATGAAAGAACAGGTTGTCTTAACCAATTCCATCCCATTCTTCTTATAACAATTCTAGATGTTCTAGAAAAAAATAGTAGGCAGCTATTAAAGTCTTTGAAGTGTGATTCTAAGTGAAATGTATAAAATTTTTTTTAAAAGTATGTCATTGTTTTTTAATAATGACAGTATACTTTTAAAAATGCAGAAGAATGAAACTGGACCATTTTCTTACACCATACACAAAGATAAACTCAAAATGGATCAAAGACCTAAATGTGAGACAGGAATCCATCAAAATCCTAGAGGAGAAC